TGTTACAGAATTCCTTTTTTTTTTTTTTTAAATCACTGTATTTTCTATCCTGTTCAACTGCAGATGGTATATAGAAACAGCACCTGTAAAACACAGCTGTCTGTGTTTGTAAGAAGGTTTGCTGTGTTCACCTAAGGATAAGTGCCCCATTTATTATTAAAGTTTGCTGACACAATAGAAGGGGACTCTCTCTACAAGTTTATTCCAGGTAAGCTAGCTAAGGTTTCTAAGTCTGATATTACACCACAGCTGAGCTTAGGCAACAGCTCACCATGAAAATAAAAGGACACTGTGCTCCCCATGTTTCAGTTGCGAGAGCCCAAAAATTAGTCAACTTTCTGTACCATACTAACAAAGGTAATTACATCTCCATAATCAGAACTGGGTAACTTTTTGTCAGCCTCTGGGACATGTTTTTGCCCCTTCTGTTAATCAAGCCTGGAGCCTGTCAGAATCTTTGCTCAGTTAAAGTAGTTAAAATAATTTTTTTTTCCTTATTCTCCAGGGTTCTCCTCTGCTGATTTAGGAAATTCAATGATCTTGAAAGAGTACAGGAAATCGTGTGGCCTAGGAGCAGAGGGAGAAGTTGGGAAAAAGAGAGAGATGTCACTCTTTTGTTGGAAAGGATAGAATACGGATATGATCAGTTCTAAGAGTTGCTGAAGTCATCATGTCTAATGTTACTTCAAGCAAGCAAAAAGTCCAAGTGAGAAGATTAGAAGCAGTGCATGTTGCAGTACGTGGTCACCTCTCAAAAAGAGATGCTGATGAAGAAATAAGAAGCGATTAACACATCGTTTAGCACAAACTCATGTAGACTGTGGAAAAAGCACAGTTAATTTATACAGAACAGCTCACAAACCGGACAATCAACTCCTGACTTGTGAACAGTAACCCCACCCTGGGCATTTTGAGACATTTGTACTAAAAATATTTCTGCTATTCCTGCAAACAACCCCTAGAGAAAAAAAAACATATTGTTTTGCCAAATTTAAGAACATTCTTGGTGACACTGCCTTCAGAAGGCTCTTAGTAGCTACCTGCTTTGGAGCAAGGATGTGCATACTTGGTAGGGAACAGCCGCTGGGTGCGAGAGGTGCTTGTGCTACCCTTGCACAAAACCAGCCCAGCAGAATATAATTCGCCTTTGAAAAGATGTCACCTGAATGTGCTGTCTAAACTTTGGCTTCCAGGGTTAAATGTCTAAATTACTGTGTCCAAAACAAGCATAACCCAACTTGGTCTGACGACTTCAACTTCTCCTTCAATTGCACCTGTAGTGTGGTGCATGTTTCACAGTCTATGTTTAGAGCTTTGTATGTGCTTGTAGTTTTTCTCACTCACTTCCAGCCTGCAATCTCAGGCTCTGGGTTGATGATACAAAGCATTCAGCAGCAATGTTACCACACTGTAGTTCTGACAGTGCTACTTAACCTCGGACTAACTGCCCACAGCAGTATAGACAAATGTTCTGGCTTACTGAAGAGACGGTTCAGCACAGGAACGGGCAGCTGGGAGGGCCAGACCTGTGCAAAATAATACTGCCACCAAACACATCCTATTATCAAATCATAGTCGTGGACTATATGGTGGGAGCAGAAGACAGGGAAACTTGAACTTGAAACCAATGAGGAAGAAAAGGTCTTCCTAGACAAGGAGCATGGGAGAGAACTTCATGTTATGATTTGCCTGACACATTGAACTTCAGTCTCAAAACCAATGTTTTTTAGTGCATGATACCAGGCTCTTTGCTCCTTTATTTTTGTGCCAAAGAAAAGGAAAGTTTATAGGATTCATTCACATCCCTTCTCATGTCTGCATGGTTATTTTATTAAAGCAGAACTGGGTCAAAGAACTTTCCTCTACATAATTTTCTTTCCACTGTGAGCCAAAAAATTGACTATACTTGTAAAAGAAAACATGCACAAAGGAAGGAAAAATCTCCTCTTTGTGTGCAGTCTTTTCATTGCAAGCTACTTGTAGTTTATGACGGAATTTACAGCTGAATGACACACAGGAGACAAAAGTGGGACTTACATGATTCTTCTGATCCCTCCAGATCAGTCTGTGCGTGCTAAGCAGTAAAATTCCACTATCAAATTTCACCTAAACCAGAAAAATAAAACAGATCAACAACAAATTAAACCGGTAAGTTGCATAAATACTGATCTTGGAAACATTACACCTTACTAGACATAACAATCAGATTCAACAAGCCAATATTTTGAGAACACCTCCCCTTTTTTCAGAAATCAAAATACATGAAGTTTAGGAAACAATGGAGAAAATAAGTATAAAGGGATTAGATAGATATACACAAACTTCCTTTTTAATGGGTATAAACTTTGTCCCCCGGAAATCCTAAGGGATCCCCCCTCCATATACTGTGCAAGATATACAAACATTTAAACAACCTACTAAGAAGATGCTACACACAGTCTGAAATCTTCCATTCTATCACACAGGAGTATTGCCTCTATCCATCTTACTGTTGAAAAGCTCTTTATTTATCAGACAGCAAACAGTACGTGGAAAATCTGTGCTAGCAAATTGCTTCCTACTTGTAAAATCTGATGCACACTTTTACAGCTTTCTGTGAGAGCGCACAACTACTGTGGTGTGGAAAATGGAAAGATCTAGAGTCGGTCCAGCTGTAAAACAAAGCAATAAGCAGGCTGGCTCAGACAAGTGAAGGGTCAGTACCCTTGATGACTAGAGCGCCAGTGCATTTTACAGCTACCAGGACAACTCCAGTGTGAATTGTACATGAGGCCCTGTACATGACACCAAAGTCACTGTGCAGGGCAACACAGGCAAGGCTCGGCCCTAACAGCTCGAGCAGTGGACAGTGCTTTGTGACAGCAATGCCAGCACACCCTGTGGGGCTTCCCAACCCTCCCTCCATGTAGCACACACTGTCCAAGGCCTTTCTCACAGAATCATAGAATCAGGTTGGAAAAGACCTCTGAGATCATCGAGGTCAACCTATGACCCAAAATCATGTCACCTAGACCATGGCACTGAGTGCCATGTCCAGTCTTTTCTTAAACACCTGCAGGGACAGCGGCTGCACCACCATTCCAATGTCTAATCACCCTTTCTGTGAAGAAACTCCTCCTAATGTCCAACCTAAATCTCCCCTGGTGCAGCTGAAGGCTACGTCCTCTCGTCCTGTCACTAGTTACCTGGGAGAAGAGACCGACCCCCACCTGACTACAACCTCCTTTCAGGTAGTTGTAAAGAGCAACAAAGTCTGAGCCTCCTCTTCTCCAACCTAAACAACCCCAGCTCTCTCAGCTGCTCCTCATCGGACTTGTGCTGCAGACCCTTAATCAGCTCCATTGCCCTTCTCTGGACATGCTCCAGCACCTTAATGTCCTTCCTGAATTGAGGGGCCCAGAACCGGACACAGGACTCGAGGTGTGTCCTCACCAGTGCCGAGTACAGTGCCCTAGTCCTGCTGGCCACACTATTGCTGATACAGGCCAGGATGCCACTGGCCTTCTCGGCCACCTGGGCACACTGCTAGCTCACGTTCAGTCGGCTGTCGACTAGCACAGTCTCCCAGAGCCTGGAACTCCGCCCTAACAATCTCCTCACGGACATAAACCCCGCCAGACCCTGGTGCAGAATGTCCTCCCACACCCCCGACCGATGCTCCGCCAGCAGCCCAGGCCCTCACACCCCTCATATCGCGCCCTCACTCGACACCACCCACACTCACGGCCCTGCCGCCCCCTTGCCCGGGGCCCGCGGCCTCCTCCCCACCCGGGCTCTGCCGCGCCGCCAGGCACCGCGCGGGGCCGCCCCCGTCACCTTCTCCTCCCCGTCGCTGAGGCGCACGCCGCGCTGCTGGACCACCAGCGTCTCCCCCAGCTCCAGCAGCCCCGTGGTCCACGAGAACCTGTCCATGGCCGCCCTTCCCTTCGTCGGCCCCACCGAGCTGCGGCGGCCGCTCCCTACCCACAGCCGCCAGGCGCGTCGGCACCGTGCGCGGCCGGCCCGCGCCCTCTGGCGGCGGCTCGGGGAGCAGCCGCCATGTTCCCCCGCCGCGTGGCGAAACGGGAAGGCAGCGCCCGCTCCTCCCTCCCACTCGTCATTGGCCAGTTCAAGTCCCGCGGCCCGGCCAATCAGGACGGCCCTGCCGGGCGGCGGATGATTCAAACGCTCGCTGCCGGCGGCCATGGCAGCGCGCGCGGTTTCGCTGCTCCCGGCCAGCCGCAGGTCCGAGCCCGCGTTCCGAGGTACGGCCGGGATACTGGGGGGGGAGAGGGGCACCGACGGGCTGAGCCGCCCCCCGCACACACGCTGCCCGATACCGGCCGGCTGCGCGGGGCTGAGCGTTACCGCTCGTCGTTACGGCCCCGCGCGTGGCCGCGGCGGGTGGCGGGGGAGCCGGTGGGAGCGGGGAGCTGGTCGCTCTCCCCGAGAAGCCGGAGGCAAGGGAAGGCGCCCCAGGCGAGGTCGACGACCGGCAGGTCTTAGCAGCAGCGCTCGCTGTCGTGGTCTTAGAGATTCTGGCCGGTGCGAGCGGGCGTACGAGACTTCGCTCTCCCTTGACAGCGCTGGGGCCGGTGCGGACCGCACCCCATCGCATCCCACACCTCATCTTATCATCCCATCCCCTGCCCCAGGCAGGGTCCCTGGGGTAGAAGCCTTCCCTCACGACGGAAGAGACGCCCTAACGTAAGAGCGTCCCATTGAAACCAGCAAATGTGCCACTGATCTAGATCCGTACTCTTGTGTTTATTTACTTTCTGAACGGTTTGGCTTCTACAAGTTAAACAACAGAGTTGCTCTGAATGGAGCTTTGCTGTTTGTGCGAAGGGCAGTGAGAGCTGAGTTTCCAAAGCAGAAGGTGCTGGGGGGGCTTTGGGATGCTTGCTGAGCTTGCTGCTATGCAGCATCTCTTGGCAGGTGCATTTCTGCTGTAGCGTCTTCAGAAGCAGGTGGTGCACGCGGTCTTTTTTAAACTTTGTCCAGAGAAGGGCAACGAAGCTGGTGAACGAAGCTGCAGCACAAGTCCCATGAGGAGCGGCGGAGGGAGGTGGGGTTGTTTAGTCTGGAGGAGGCTCAGGGGGACCTTATCACTCTTTGCAACTACCTGAAAGGAGGTTGTAGCCAGGTGGGGGTCGGCCTCTTCTCCTAGTCAACTAGTGACAGGGCGAGAGGACATAGTCTCAAACTGTGCCACGGGAGGTCGGACATTAGAAGGAGTTTTTTCACAGAAAAGGTGATTAGACATTGGAATAGACTGCCCAGGGAAGTGGTGGAGGCACTGTCCCTGGAGAGACAGTCCCAGCTGTCTTAGAACCTATTCAGGATCACTTTGTGCTGTTACTGACACTCCTGTTAGTCCAACATTTGTACCGATGCCCAGCTGACAGTGGAAGATAAGCAAATGATTTTACAGATGGTCACTTTGGTTCATGTCCATGGTGTTTTTCATGTGTGCTATACTTGTTACTGCCACAGATGAAAAATGTGCTTGCTTATAAGAGTGAGCCTGACTTCTTCCCATCAAATAATTATGTTTGTTTTGGGTTAACACAGCAAAACAACTAACTTGTAGACCTGTGAAATTACACTTCAAGTGACCCTTGAATATAGCCTTTCTCAAGAAATAAATGTGTAAGACATTGTGATGTGAATATTAAACTAAAAACTTTCTTAATCCATAATGTCTCTATTTCATAATGTCTTGATGCTTTTCTAAGTGCATTTCCTTTTTTTACTAAGAATCAAAGTTTGTCATTACCATTTTAGCTGAAAATGTAATAAGTGTGTCTTTTAAAACCCACTAGAACAAAGGCGACAAAAAGTTGAAGAATATTTATCAAGAAAGAAAACTTTCTCTGGTGTGCCCATTCAAGAAAACCAGACATCGATCAGGTAGTATTTCTGCTATGGCTTAAATTTCTTTATATTCACTAATATACCTTATTTTTCATCTCAGCTGCCTTCTGTAAGATCATCTGATGCACAGATACCATCTGCGAACTGGAATGTTCATTTCCAGTCACATGAAGTAGTGCCACATGTTTCTTATAATGCATCACAAAGCATCTGAGGAAGAACTTGGATTTGTAACTCTAAGCTGAGATGTTTTTCTTCTGAGCTGTCAATACATTTTCATAGTTGCTAGGAGACAATACTGGTCTTGGTGGTTTTGTAACTCACTGGGTAGTCTGATGCCAACTCTGGTGCCTGACTGAAGGTTTTGGAACCTGTCACTATGGTAGAAACTGTGTCTCCTTGTTCAGACTCGCCTCAAATGGCCTGGGTTCTGGTGATTGCAGTAGCTTCGACTCCTTGTGCTACTCCTCCTTCCCCCTCAACTGCAGCATTTAGAAACTTAAACTTCTGTAGCAAATGCATCAGGCTAGACAAGTTGCTGCTCATCCTTAAACATGAGAATGACACCTGCAGTCAATTCCAGTCTGTTAGCCAGCTCTTTGTGGTGTAAGACGGGACGTTTTGCAGTCTAGGCCCCGATCAGTGGTTGCTTAAATTTTTTTTTTTTTTTTTTTTGCTGGAAGAATACTACAAGCTAAACAGAAATACTTCAGTGTGAGTTCAGCCGGCAGACTGCCAACTGGACAAAAAATACATTTCTTTGTTTCATGATTTAAGATTTTTTTTTTTTTTTAAGCAGTAGCAGAACTCTGCGAGCAACTAGCAATAAACTGCAAGACAACTTACAGCTCTCAACATCTCCAAAGCCAGAAATGGTAAGTTTTTTAGTGATATTTAAATACTGATGGTACTCTTTTTTCTTGCAGCTACAACATTCCACTCACTTAAATCATATTTATGTTATATGACTTCCAGAGCATGAGAAGTTTTGAGGTGCAGAAGTGCAGGTTGTTAAAACTTTATTCAGTCACTACTTATTATATGCTTTTTGGAAAGCCGTCACATTACAGTATGTAATGGATCATATTGATATTCAGTTTGTATCTGATGGTGGAGGGAGTTAAAGAGGATACTACTGTTGCTGAAATAATGCTTTCATTTTAACAACTTTTAAGAATCTCAGAATTTACTTTACATATTTCCAGTCTTCAGGGAATTAATTTAAAATCTAATTAAGGTCTTCTGACAGAGTAGAGAAGTCTTCTATTTGTACTCTGTTACTTTGAAGAAAACCAAATCATTAACAAAACTAACTGTTGAGCATGCTTTTAAGTTGTGTACTGGCAAATCTAATGTAATCAGAAGTAGGTGCCAATACCTAATCAGAGTTTAATAGAATGTGTTCTCTATAAAATTTCATGTCACTTTTCCAAAATTAAGATGCAAACAGTTGTGCTGCTTAGAAATAGCAAAATATATTCTTCTCCAGACTTGTTCTCAGGCAAAGGTGAGGAAAAAATAGATACAAGACCTGGGTTAGTGTTAGGCAGTTTTGAATTTGAGTTCCAAAAGATTTGAGACATAGAGTTATTTGGGGAGGAAACCAATAACCTGAAAACTTCAAAACAGAATGTTGTGGGGAAAAATTCCAAAAGTTAGAACAAAGGTGTTTTTTTATATATTTCCTGAAGGGACATATTTTTTTCTGTATAAATGTCTCATGTTATTTTGAAGTGAAGTTAAGCTATGTAGTTTCTTGAAATAACAACCCTCATACTCAAGCTCTAGTTATAGAAGTCAAATAGGTCAAATCTAACTTCTCGCCTGAATGACAGACCAAGAAATGAGATGCAGTGTAGGTTTTTTTTTACAGTTTGAGGGCATCTTAAATAAAAGAGTATCAGCTTCTGCAGAGGTCCATATGTCATTCATGATTTTTTCCTGCCTTTAGATATTTTACTCTTTCAAAACTGCTGCTTGGACAATGCTGAATTAGTTGCTGTAGAGCATCTTCTTCGGAGGAAAATACTAGATCCCACTTCTCATGGAGGGTTGTGCTGAGACCATATGGCTGAGAGTTTCAGGGAGTAGTAAATCCATATAAAACTGACGTAACTATTCTTGACTTACAGCATCCTGTAGCTCAATAGTAAGAAAAATTCTCCCTCTTCTGGTAACTCCTACTACCCTAATTAAAGGCTTTAGTCACTACCTCCTGCTAGTAGACTATTCACACTAAGTGGGGGAATGGTGCTACCATTAAGTGATGAGGTAGGTAGAGATACTGCTTTTGACTACATACAGTCTAAAGCAACTTCTCTTAGAAGGTAATTTTGGCAGTTAAAAGCCAGCAGTTACTTTGAGAGTTTTGTTTCTTACTTCCAAGGCAGGATTTAAGCAATTTTTATTTGATTTTTTTTTTTAATGTGAATTCTGCAATAATAGTTGACAAATATTCTACTCAGTATTTATACACTGCTTCTGTAGGTACTTTCTAAGTGGCATTTACCTTTAATCACTTCAGTCCTATAAATCAGTGGAAGCATCTTTAGAAACAACATGCAGAACGAATGTACTTCTAATATTACTGTGGATTTGCATTTGATTTCAGGAAAATAAAGAGAATGATGATAAACTGTCATGGGACCAATCAAGTGTAAGCTCAGAAAAAAATGTTACTTTAAACTCTTCCACAATCCCACTGACAAGTTACCTATCAGGGACAAACTGGAATCTTGAAGATCAAGCTTCTAAGGCCAAAGCTACTGAAATAAAATCTCAGCATGCATCACTTAGTAAGGCCTTCTTGGAAATAAAAAGAATAAAAGAGAAGCAATTGATTGCAGAAAAACAAAATGCAAGTATCAGCCTACCAAAGAAACCAGCGCTCGGCAAATACCGTGGCAAAGTTATCCCATCCAAGATAAATTCCTTCCGAAAACCAGTAAAAACTGAGGGGGAAAAAAGTTCTTTGCCAGACAAGAAGCTTCTTCCTTCTGCCACCAAACAAGCAGGAAGTTCTATGTCTACGAAAAGCTGTAGTGCAGTTCTGAAGAATATCAAAGTCGCAAACAACTCTAAGTCTGTAAAATCGAATAGTGTCCTGCCATTTCACAGCAAGGCACCTGAAAAAGCTGCTATTAACTC